ACACTTGCTTTGGATGCCCCAGATGTGTCCCTCATTAGCTAAGAGATCTTCAAAAAGTCACTTTACGATTCTTGGTTTCCTGCCTACAAAGGTAGAAGAATGCTTTCTATCCCTTAGGCTTGATATGCAGTCCCTGACACTATATGACTTATAATAAGTTCTCAACAAATGTTAATATCTCCTGTCATCATTATTTCCTGGTTTCTCGTGACAATAAACAAGCTAAACTGGTAGCAGGTTCGGTGTCAATACCGATCCGTTCAGAGGTGGACAGGGGCATTTGGTTGCTATATTTTTCTTATAGGATCTAGTAACTGGCACTGCCTTTAGCAATGGATCCACCCTTGGTTGAATTTCAGGAGCAAGGAGGAGATGCTTCTCTATGGGTCTTGAGGGCAGGCCCAGGCAGATGTCATTTGCAAGAGGTTTGCTCAGCACTCAGCACAGGCAGGCTTCAGTGTGGACTTCAAGTTTAAGGTAGGAAAGTGTCAGGAGTGCAAATAGGTGTGATGTAGCGTGCTCACAACTCTCCTGGCACTATCCATACACAGGTTCCATGGGCCCTTTGGAAAATAATTCAACTGTAGCAAATCCATGTTCTCAAGTACTGACAGCTCACCGGAGCAGGTGCTCCATGTTCTTCCAAAATCCATACTGTCAGGATGAGAGGACTTGCTGAATCTCTCTGCCAAGTCCAGCTCTCTGAGATGGGGACAGGAGAATTGATTCCCAGATTTTCTGTACAGTGAGCAAGAAGTAATAAGGAAGAAAACTCTGTGATTGTTTGGGATCAGAAAAAAAAAGATGGTCCATTGATTGAACTGACTCCTATTGGTCAAAGAAAATCAAGATGGCAGCCAGGATCCCTTGATCAGGAAGAGACCAGGGAGGGAGGTCAAGAAGGTTATTTGCAGTTATTTCAGGCTGCACTGCAATTTCCTGAGGGTAGGACTCTGTTTGGAGCTTGGGGGGGGGGTCTTCATCCCTACTCTATAGAAATTGACATATGAATATTTATCTTGCAGAGCTTAATGTAATCAAGTATTTTCACAACTGCTTTTCCGAAGCAAAACAGCTTTACATACAGAGCCTTTATGATGGATGCATAGCTTTATGATGGATGTTCAGTGAATACTAGCTTCTGTCAGAATACAATTTCTTTCCTGCAATTGTAGGGTCAGAAATTCATACTCTGGAAATAATGTTCTTGGCATGATCTTTGATTGCTGCCTATTAGGAGGGTGCCAAAGGGAAAGAGTAACTGTGAGACCACAGGGGTCAGTCAGGCCCACTCCTGGTCTAGAAGCTCACCAATCTGCCCAGTTGGGCAGTCTTGACATCTCTCTTACTCTGGAGTTCTCCTTTCTTTGTCTAGACCTGGGAAGGAACAAATGTGTGTTTTCTTCTCATGAGGCTGGTTTGCCCAGTTTCCCTAAAGGATGTTGGTCTTTGTTGGTTCTGGATAAGATGGTCCTCCATCTTCCTCAAAGGCTTGCCTACCTGTGGCCTGGTTTGGAAACCTCTTTAACCAGGAAAGATGGGTTTGCTCTACACTGACATACTTTAAAATGATGTTCATGTTAGAAATGGTCTATTCACCAAAGCCTTCAGCCGATTTCCCCCTAAGAATGGTTTTTATCATTGAAAAATGGAAGGCTATGAATCTCAAAAAGGCTGATAATCCTCAAGTACCATCTCTGAGATACTTACCTTCCTCTTCCTCCATCAAGCAGTAGAGTTTTAGGCTTGGAAGGGGGCATTCATAAATGTTCACTCAACTGAGCTGATCAAAGAGAGACTCTCGCGTGAATAAGTCCACTCTCTTGCCTTCAAAAATCTACACAGGTCTTAATGTCAGACCTTCCTAATAATTCTTCTTCATAATTCTTCATCCGTGGGTACACTGTCTATGTCTTCATAAAAAGTCTGTGATGCATCATTGTCTCCTTTGGGTTCTGATTCTTTTGGCATTGTCTGCCTTGGTGTCAAGATCTCACATCTATGGATCCTGTGAACTTCACTGTATCCCTTCCTCTGGTCCCAGTGAATGACTTTTGAACCTAAACATCCATATTTTCCATAGTAATCCCACGGATGCAGACTAGATCCACTCTCGAAAGGCCATAACTTTTCCAACAGACCATCAGCTCAATGGTAAGGGAAGGTAAAACCATCAGAAAGCTTTAGCAAATACATAGATGCAAAAAATGTCGTATGACCCAACCATCCTGGCTTGCCCAGGATTGTTCCAGATTTAGCACTGGAAGCACCATGTCCTTGGCAACTCTGCAACTCTAGGTAAACTGGAATGGTTGGTCAACCTACACAGAAATAGCATTTGCAGCAGTTTGTTCTAAGAAAAACCATCATAGATGTGTGTCAAGATTTAACCACCAAGCTTTCATCAGAGTTTTATTTAAAATATGGAAATATCACGCATGGTTCTGGATAAGATAGTCCTCTTTTGAGTTGAATGTCCAATGGCAAGGAAGCAGCTAAGGATCATAAAGTGGCTGCTCAGGCTGCCAAGACAGAGTTTGCTTTAGAAATATGTGGAGACATGAGACGGATGGAAAAGGAAGTGCAATATTTACACATAAATAATTCAGTCATGTAAATACATAGATAAGTAGAGTAATTTGGGTTACAACTGGTTAAAACCTGACCTTGCCATTCTAGTTCAGGCAAATCGGTGGCAAATTATTTAATATTTCCATCCCTTTGTTTCTTCATTTGTAAAAGTGGGTAAGAACAACTCCTGCAATATTAGTGAAGACTCCGTGACTCAACATAGAAGCACTTGAGACAAAGACTGGCCCAGAGAAGACACTCACTATTCACAGCTGCTGGTGGTGGTGAGAGTAGAGGAAGAAAGGGTTACTGAGCCTGTGCCAGGTGCCAGGCTGAAGGCTAAGCCCTTGTCATGACTGCACCCCATTTTGCCCTCAGGGAATCCCATAATCCACTTTAGAGAGTTGCCAAAGGTCTCTCCCTGGTGAGCAGTAACTCAGGATTCAAACACGGGCCCTGAGAGTCGGGGCAGGCAGCAACTGGCTGGCTTTCGGTGAGTAACTTATGCCTTTGTTGTCATTACCTATGCACAGGCAAGCTTAGCTCTGGATGGAGGCATATCCATTTGTCAGAATCTCACCTCGGTTGCGAGTCATTAGCATTGGGGCAACAGAGAAGAGTGAATGTTAATTAAAATTCAGACCCCTGGTTGAAAGCAATGTATTCATGTGGACAAAGAAAACCGGCTGTCACACACCTGACCATGCAATGCAGCACCCTGCCAGAAACTTCCAGGGTCCTAGGGTTGGGTCAAGGACTTTCACAGTTAGGAGAAATCCAGGTGTCTACCTCATGGAGGACTTTCTCTCAGGTATTGAAGAATTGTCTGCCAAAAGCTTCCAACTGACTTTCACGAGAAGACCCTTCTCTTCAAAGAACACATGAATTAAGGGGGAAAAGGTTATTCATAAGTTTAATCAAATAGGAAGTATAGACCCATCCCTAATATTCTTTGATGTGCTTCAAAGACAGGCTGTCAATCACAGAAGTGTTTGAAGATATCATAATCAAGGTTACTAATATTGGATTTTAAAAAGCATTTTCCATGAAGCTGGGCATTTCCACTCAAGGCCAAGAATAATTGAACTGAAAAAAAAAAAGCATAGAGTTAAATTTTGATAACTTTCATTGTGGTTGAGAAGAACTAATCAAGCTGGGCTGGGCATGGTGGCATACACCTCTAATCCCAGCAACTAGGGAGAGTGAGGCAGGAAGATTACAAATTCAAGGCCAACCTCAACAACTCAGCAAGGCCCTAAGCAACTGAGCGAGATTCTGTCTTAAAAGTAAAAACTAAAAAGGGCTGAGGATGTGGCTCAGTAATTAAGCACCCCTGGGTTCAATCCCTGATACCAAAAAAAAAAAAAAAAAAAGAACAAATCAAATGAATTGAATAAATAAATGATTGGGTTTTTTTTTAAGTAAAACACTTTCTTTTTGAATAAGTACAGCATCGTTTCATTCTATAGAATTTCTTACGACCAATAGTATCATTGTACTCAGGAAAGAAGATGTATATATATGTAATATTTTTACTATTTTATATATTTGTTAATGACATATATTTTTATTTACATATATTTTATATAATCTATATGTGTATATATCAAAGTATTAATAATAAAAATGATAATTACCTTTGGGCCGCGGACTTTTAGAGGTTTTCAAAGTTTTCTTGACTCTTTCATCTGAATTTTCTACATTATTCTCAATGACAATGCCCTATGTTTAGCGATAGGAAAACTCACACAGAATTGCAAAAATATCTGATGCCAAATCTCTAGAGTCCAAAGCTGTCTGTTTTCTAAATTCTATGCTAAGTCCAACTTGTACATTCACAAAACACTATTCCTGTTCTGCGCATGCAGTAATGTTTCATCGGAATTGCATCTGGAGTTACATGGCTGGACACTGGGCTGTCAGGGATTAAGATGGGTGCTTCTCAATTCTGGGGGACGGGCTACCTATTGAGCCGTAGGTAGTGCCTGCATTTTGTTACCCATGGTGACAGCTGCCAATGTGTGAGTGAATGTGAAATGTCAAGTTCTCTGGCACCATTCCTGGAAGAATCTGTAATTTACTGGCTCCGTCATGTCACTCTCTGAAGTATTGCCTGGGAGACAGGCTATGACCCACCCTGGATCTCGGCCGAGTTTTCTTTGGGATCCTCTGAAGGCCACTTTACCATGGGGGTCCATGGGTGGGAACTTTCACACCCATTTTTCTTTTGCTTCAAATTTCTCCTGGGAACGTGAAGGGGGCACCTTCTGGTTTTTTCTTCTTCTTCTTCTTCTTCTTCTTCTTCTGCCTGTGTTTCTGGGTGAAATCCCACGGAGATACAACGTGTGGAGCGGGGGCTGCTGTTCGCCCCATCCTATTTTAAACCATGCTAAGGTGGCAGGAGCCTTCAACGATCAGGAAGGAAGAGACAACTGGGAAGAGGCAGGAGGAAGCAAAGCTCACGCCAAAAAGGCTTTGGGATTTGCTGGAGGCCTCACGGAGAGGATGCCTGCCAGTTTCCTTTTTATTTTTTTATTTTTTTAATACCAATTCGATCAACCAAGCTCACCTAAGGCAGTGTGTGGATCACTTTATTTTTAATTGCTGCAAATGAAATGCCATAAATTAAAAATCGACACTGGGGCGATCTCCCTGTCTGATCCAACAAAACAATCCACCCTCCAAATGTGGGCAAAGTGGCAGCCCCCCTGGGGACGAATGGGACAGACCTGTGGTTGAAGGTGTGCACTTCCATGAAGCTCCTGATGGCATGCCCAGGAAGCACCTGAGACAGGAAGGGTCCCGAGTCCCCTGTGCTGACGAGGACAGTAACCAAGGGAACACCCATGTTTTCTCAGGTCTGAGGCATGCAGGTGAGAAACTTGCATGCTGCAAACATCCAAGCCAGACGCTTGATTCAAACCCTTTCATAATGAAATGGTAGGAGAATGGAAGGGTGGGGACAGGCATGGAGTCAGTCGACATCTACAGACTAAAGAGACCCTCCCACACCACAGGGGGAATACACCCGTGAGCATGGTTCCATTGTGAATAGCTGACCAAGCCAACAGTGCCCCAACTGGTCTCAGTGGTAAAGGGACTCTGAAGCCTCTTCAGCCTTGACCTCTCTCTTAACTATCAAACCTCAAGTTCTATGGGATATGTCCCTTTGGATGCTCAGTCAACAACCTAGTCAACGTGGTCATGACCAAACCCGTCGGTTCCTGATCTGATTGAGGATGGAAAGAAATTCCCGTGCTTCTCTGAGCCTTGCTTCACCGACCCGCCTGTAGCTCCCTTTCATGGCTCACCCTAGCACTAGGGAACCACAAGATTGTAGTTTCTCACGATGCTCAGTGAGCTTCCTGAAGATGGCTTCTCTCTTTCCACCATCCTGCCTTGAGGGCTTTCCTTCTCCATCTACCCTCCTCCATGCCACTACCAGCAGTGAGTTTCTAGATGTGAGGTGGCACATGTCATCCTTTGCCTTGGAAATGCTTACTCACTCTGTATTGGATGTAAGATAAATCTTAGACTTTTTAATATGTTTTTTTCTAGAACTTTCCAGATATTTTAACTTAGTAATTTTCAAGCCTCAATGCTACAGACCTGAGATCCCCAGCGACGACTAAAACTTTCCCTTGAATGAGCTGCACTCTCGACCTTGTGGGGACCCACCTGGGCAAAGGCATAAAAGAGGGTGAAGTCTCCATCCCTGCCGTTCTCCACGCATCACGATTTTGTTCTTTCAAAACTCAGCTCGGGTTAACAACACCAATCATCGGCCCTGTCCAGCCCAGGGTCCCGGCTTCTAAGAGGACCATCCTCTGCAGTTGACCATGTCCCGTTATCTGGCGAGACTGATCTCCTTGGAGGTAGAAACAATATTCAATTCACTTTGGCATCTTGTCCCCATCCAGTGTACAAATCCTGGAGACTCAACAAATGCCTGTCGAATACACAGAACTCCAAAGCAATTATCAGAGCAACTCGGAGCAATAAGGAAAGCTGTGTTCTGAAAAGCACCGTCCCTGGACGGTCGCCTCCCTTCTGTTCCCTGATCACCTGGGCCCCCCGACAGGCTGCCACAAACCCTGAGTCTTTGAGGAAACTGGAAGCTGTCACTCTGTGGCTCTGTCAATCACACGCCTTTCACAAAGGCTCAAATTCATTAGGAGGGTAAAAAAGCCTCTAAGAAAACGTTGTCAGGAAGAATCAATCAATTTAAACATTTAAAAGTAAAATGTGCGTCAGTCAGTCTCCACGGTAAGGTTTTCATAAAGCAGGGAGTTCCCTCCTGGTGGCCAGCGGAAGCCGGGGACCCCAGGCTTCCTCCTGA